CTCCATAACTGGCAATGTTTAAATCAAGACTGGCTGTTTTCTTAAAGCTATGCTTTAGAAATTATTTTGGGGAAATTCTCTGACCTGTGTTATGCGGGATGTTAGACTAGATGATCACAATAGCCCCTTCTGGCCTTGGAATCTACGAAAGAAGCTGAAGTGTTCTTAGGATACGTCTGCACAGGGGAAAAAACCTGCATCATGGCCGCAGCTGGCTCAGGTCAGCTGACTTGGGCTGTGGAGCTAAAAATTACTGTGTAGATGGTTGGGCTGGAGCCCGAGCTCTGAGACCCTGCCAGGGAGGACGGTCTCAGAGCTCGGGCTCCAGCCTGAGCCCAAACCCAGACATTTACATGGCAGTTTTTCAGCATGGAGCCCATGCTCTGCAAGCCTGAGTCGGCTGACCTTTCCAGCCCCAGATTTTTTTTATCCCTGTGTGGATGTACCTTCATTGTCTCCAGGCTGCATCAGGGCTTAAGAGACAGCAGCACCTTCCTGGGTTAGTATTGTACCTGGTTTGGCAAAGCCAGCAGTGAGAGCAAGTCCCAGATGCTTTTTGTTGTGAAGAAACTCTGCTGAGTAATGGGAGAGGGAATTTTAGCTTTCTTCCTAAATTGTTCACCTTTCTGACTCCTCTTCTATTGGAGAGACCAATTGAAATAGTTGGAGCAGTGCTGTGTGGGCCCTGGGTAATGAGGGGCACACATGGAAGTATATTTCGCCCCCTCTCCCCTTTTACTGAGAGTCCAAGATTTGTTTTCTATTAATTGTCTTTATTGTAGGATGGTGCATGTATGTGTGAAATTTCTGGCTGGATTTGAGAGACAAAACTGAATGACATTGATTACATGTAACTAGATGTAATTTAATAATTACACTTCTCAATTACATAATTACTGTAAATGCAGGTAATTGCTTAATGGAAGCATGTAAATTGCAGAATAGACATTAACGTGGGGTGAACTGCTTTGTATCCTTTGAGAAGTGACCAGAACCCTTTTGCCCATGGACATCCATACACAGCAGACCCCTTCTAGATTTGGTGACTTTGCCCACTCCTCTCTGCCTATGGATGACATTTTCTAGTTTAGGCTAGCTGTGGCAGTAACACCCATCTATTGTATTAGCTTCTGCCAGGCTCTGTGTGTGTTTTTGTGTAGGGGGCTGCCATGTGGGTGAAGGGGCAGAGGGCTGCTTTCACCCTTTCTTGGAACAACAGAGGAGGATCTGCTTTTTACCCCTTGAGAGAGGGTCTGGCACCCCAGGACAAAAAAGCAAAGGGGGTAATGGACACCATTATACTTTGGAAAGAGCCCTGGGCAGAACCAGAAGGTCTTGAGGAAAATTTCAGGAAACATTTGTTAATGGCTTGCTATCGATCAGTGTTTGTAGCAATAGATACAACTGTGTCATAAAGCCAACAAACAGATATGCCATTTTTACTGAGGGGGAAATAGCATCTGTACAGTATGCCAGGCCTAGCAAAGAGTACAAGGTTAAGAACACTGGAAAGGTTTTTTATCCCGGGGTTGAGAGTGCAGCTGATAGGCAGGGCTTTGTGGACAGAAGTGCGCTCCCACTTTCATTCACTCATAGGGGAGCACTGATCAGCGTTCATGTTGTGCTCCCCGTCAGTCCCTGGGCCAGTGAAGCTAATAATCAAACCAGCGGACCGATTTCGGTGGTGAATCCTGGTCATCCCGAGGCATGTTTTACATACACTAAGAAGACTCATTCATACAAAGTGGTGCATGGATTTGGGAAGGGATACTGCTGTTTGTGGCATTACTGGGGGGCTTGTTAGGTTTCTCTTTGGGAGCCAAAGGGCATGTAAAGGCCCTCCTCAGAAGCCAGGAAAGGCTTGTGTCTTACTGCAGCTAGGCTGATACAGGAGTAGGTGTCCTGCGTGGTATGTCTGCTTCCTTTACTGGCTGCAGTATCTCTGTAGAAGAGAAACCCTTTTGTGACCGAGTTTTATAGGGCAATTACTGTAACCTAATCATGATCATTTCCGTTACTTCTCCCACCCTGCTGGTTCCATCACTGTGCCTTTTGTACAGAGACTTCAGTTTCCTTTTCTTCTCTCCTTGCTCAGGGACCGCACCAGAGGAAGCTGCAGTTGCTTGCTCAAGGCAGGCTTGAAAGCAGCAGACCTAAGAGTATGGAGTTTAAACTTGCCGATCTGTCTCCCTTTCCCTTCCCCAGATACTGGGCTGGCTGATGGGTATTAACTCTTGGGTGCAGGGTAGTTTTATTAGCATACTGAATGTCATTTACCGTCGTCATTCTCAGAGGAGCCCTGTGCGTGTGGGGGGGATATAGAGGGAAAGCACTGGGCATTTATACAGTGATAGAAAATGTTCTCAATTCTGCTTTCCAAGCAGTCTGTGAGTGTTTGTGAAAGAGGCAGATAGAGAGGCCAAGGGGAGCACAATGGAGGGCTGTCAGTCGCTGGAGGCCTGTCATAACTGAATACACAATATAAAGCTCTGACTTCTCAGAAATCTCATCCTGGGCATATTTTCAGAGCTTTCACTGGAACCACAAACCAGGGCCTAGGACAGCTTATCTATATAAAGGGGACCAGCAGCCGCTTTTTCAGTGTCTTCCTCTTTGTTCGTCAGGATTGTTCTTGAATTTGCTCTTCGCCCTTGTTCTCATCTCTCTTTTATTTGTAGACAGAGCATAAGCCTTGCTCAGTGTGTTTTCAGACCATCTTTATTTTGCTGCCCTGAGCTTTCTGCTAGGATTTGATAAGGTAGGAGTGAAGGGAGAATGAAAGAATCTAATAAGAAGCTTGGCCTGATCACCTTGCATGCCATTGTGCCAACGGGTGCCTAGCAAACTCCTAGCCATCTGCCAGGGCTGTTGGTCTGTCTGGCACAAATCAAAACCTGAATTGTCCAAGAAATTCCATCTTGTCTAATATGGCTGCTGCAGCATCCTGTGCAGACTTTCTGGAAGAACTTGGCTACTAACAGTCTAATGGTTTCACCGTTAGTGCCAAGAATGCTCCAGCTAAACAAATTCCCTTAAAGGCTGGGGTCTGCACTCTCCCTCATTTGGCTTGTCTTCCTTTCCATGACCAAATTCTTTTACCTTGGGCTTTTGTCTGTGTGCACACCTGTGTGTCCATAGCACTGGGCCAGCTTGCATTTGAAGAAAGTGGCATTGTATATGCAGGACTATGAAATCTCTGATTATTCCCAACCCCTCAGATACATTGTTGCTGTGTGGGTACTGTCTCTCTTCTCCTCCACCTCCCCAGGAGTTGAGTGCAATCCCACTGAGCTACTCCATTTTGATCTGCCAGGGTGATTCCTTTGTTCCCAAACTAGTGTGCTTAGAATTTTATTTTCTGGCCACATCTCTTGTAGATACAAGTTTCCAGGGCATTCTCTTAACCTAATGCTCTGGTCCATTGTCTGAGCTTTGTGGTAGGGCTTGCTGGAGTTGAAAATGGCACCTAGCTCCAGCAAGGGGGAATTTGAGTTTCTGGCTGCCTGTGTGGCAGTAGGTATGACCAGCCAGAACAGAACAGCTAGAGAGAGAAGAGAACTAAGCAGACAGCTATATTGAGCCTCTCTTCCCCCCTGCCAGCCAGAGATCAGAGTGAATTAAGAAATAGGAGGTGGTTTTCTAAGTTTCTCTTAGTGCTGAGGCTGTTCCATATCTAATAAAACGTGACTTACCAAAGAACCACCTCTGTGAGGTTACAACAACACTGCATACACAGGTGTCATTTTAAAGGGCCAGGACGGGCACAAATGTGACTCAACAGCATAAGTCAGTCAGAAATAGATGTGGCAGGATTACATTTTTGTTGATAAATGTCGATCAACGTCCATGTCGCCATATACACACAAATGATGAAAAAATATTTCCATTGATGATGATCTAAGTTTACAGATAGACAAAGTAAGAAAAATGCTGCTTGAGAACTTATTAGTTTGACTTAAGGATATTTACTCTGTATATTTAGACATGTGATGTTAATCTTCCTCCCCCCAATTTCATTCAACTGTGAAAATGTAAACGAATAAAAATCTTTAAAAAAAAGCTTATGAATAAACATTAATATCATGCATGAAAATAATATTAAAAAATTGAATTCTGCCCAGCCTAGTCATCAAGTTCACCTGCATTTTAGCATAATGAGCACTGTGCTATTTATATAGCACCATAACTTTATATGGGGCTTGAACGAGAGATTCTTTGCCCAGAAAAGCTTACACCTACCTGAGACAAACATGGCACATAAAATTAATAGGAAAGGCAAAGGGAAGGGAAGGTCATGGATTAATACAAAGGGATCATATGAGTTTGCCATTCTGTGACTGCTTGGAACGTATCTTTCTGTCCTGTCCTGTCCTCTGATCTTTCCTTTGCGGGAGTGACTCCCCAAGGATCAGCTCAAATATTGGTTCTTGGATTTTTCATAAATATATGTCCCATTAATAGGGGTAGATATTGCAGTCAAATAGTCCCTCCAGGGGTGGGAGGTAAGAGTGGAAATGGGGAATACGCCCCACAAAAGCGGCTATTCATACAGGAACAAATTGATTCTGATGAGAGCCATTTAAAGGCCATAGCTTTTTGTTTCTTAGCATACATTTTCCTGCTTTCCAAATTGCATAGGAATTTGGGAGTCAATGACATGCACCTTGTGATGGTGTCAATAAATTAAGATAAATCTAAAATGAATAAATGAGAGTAGGTAGGAATAAATGAAACCTCCTTTGTGTTTGGGCAAATATTTGCTGTTAACCATCTTCCTTCCCCAGAAGGACTTTTTCTCCATTTCCTCTGCTCAGAGGTTTGTGACCTGTTGCCATTTCTGTAAATGTTGCTTCGTTACTTTTGTTTAGGAAACCACAGGCCTTTGTGCATTGGGCACTGAAAACATTTGTTGATTCATCTCCTATACTGTGATTTTTCAGATCATCTGTTAGGGAAAGCAAAAATGTCTAGTTACTAATTGTTTCCTCCTTCCCCCCCAGGGGCTGTGATTGGAGATGGACAGTCAGCTGTGGCCAGCAACATTGCCAATACCACCTACCGGCTCCAGTGGTGGGACTTCACCAAGTTTGACCTGCCTGAAATCAGCAATGGTAAGCTGGGAAGGGAACTAATGCCTCCTTGCAGGTCCCCTCACCCATCGAGCCCCATTAGCACCAGAAATTCTAGGAATTCCCAAAGGTCCAGTCCAGCACACTGGATTTCCTGATGTGATTGTCACTTTAACTGGAGCCATTAAATAGGCTTGTTGGAATCATGTAGGGTGCTCTTACCACTTTGTTTTGCCCACATACACCTTGTTGACTGCATCTAGGGTTCTTTGCATGGATCAGTTTCTGTGGGTATCTCCTCAAATCAGCGAACATTCTCATGAGTGCAGGAGAGCTGCATGGAGTGGAAGGGCTGACTGGGTGGTATGCTGGTAGCACCCAGCTGGGTTAGAGTTTGGCGTAAGTACTTGGTCTCTTGCATACCATACGTGATTGGAATTGTAACTGTAGCTTCCAATGACCCTTGGGATTTATGGTGTTTGGGATCTCGAAGAGAGCCACATCCACTGTCTGGCTGGAGGTGGAGGATGAAAACATTATCACTGGACTTTTCTCTCCCCTCTTCCCCCCCCCCTCCCCCGCCAAGCCACCCTCCTTACCCATGAAACAACTGAGATGTAGATCTGTTTTTCTCAACCTTTTTGATACCAGAGACCAGTTGCTGCCTTCCTAAACTATGTCAGGGAGATCTTAAGGGCGAGCACCAGTCCATGGTCTGGTCATTGAGAAACACTGTTGTAGTGTATTTCTGTGCAGCAGAGTGCAGCCTTCAGTGACTCGATGTTGCTTGGAGGGGCATGGATTCTGTTTTAAGGAGCCCTCTTCTTTCACAGATAAGTATGTGGAGCCTATCCCAGGAATAAAGGCAGCTACTGTATACCGGTATATAGAGATAAGAGTGCTGGTGGTCCCGTGCTTAGAGGGAGTGTTGCCCTGCTTCCTTTTCTCTGTCTCTCTTGCCCCTCCCATAGAAATCCATAGGATGGTGTTTCACGGATTACACCCTTGCTGGAAATGAGAGGCCCATTTCCAAAAGTTGCTTCTTAATTTTGCATGGAAAAAGGTAATTACATGGAATCTTGTTTGTCTAAGGGGCATTGTATCTCTTTGGGAGTAGCAGGTAGCATCTTCTCAGGCGTTGTGAGCACGGTACCAGATGTCAGTGATTGGATTAATTTGTAGTACTAATAGTTTTTTAACCTGAGGAGCAGACCTGTGCCCAAGGGCAGGTCTCTGCCTTGTTGACCACAAGACGTATTCCCTCTCTAGTCAGAGACCCTGGCACAAGGATAAAGCTGTGATCAGAGAGGAGGAAACACTGCTGATTTAAAATCCTCTGGGCTTCTCCACATGCTTTTAATGGATTTGAAAAGTGTTTCAGCTGCTAATAGCTCTTCTGGGCTCATCTGGTTGCCCTGGAGCAGGCTGCTGTTAAATTTTTGTGCAGGGTGTTTGTTTATAATTTATGGAGTCCCATAGAAAGGCAGAACCATCTGCTCCTCGAGGCATCAATATTTCAAACTCCTCCCTCTCCCCTGCTAGGACACTTCCATTCAGAGATCATTTATAACTAGCAGATTATTGGACTTGAATATTTCTGTCTTCTGTTGCCATCGTGCCCATCCTCTCTCTGTCTGTCTGCAGCCTCGGTCCCTGCTGCAAGCCTGTGTTGTGCCCATCTGGCTCCCTACTCTGTGCCTGGCCAGAGCCTGTCTCCAGGCCTGCTTGCCTATATTTATTTTCATTTTAAAATGTTTAGGTATTTTGTTCTCCCTTTCCTTCCAACTCCTCACTCACTGCACCCTGCTCTGGCACTTTACAGAATGGTTTGCAACATCTTACAGAAATGGTTTGCAACATGTGGTTCATGGACGCCTGCTCTTGTTGGTTCAGTGGCCAGAATTACTCCAGAGCTGCACTTGAAACCTGAGACCTTATACTGAAGCACAGAGGAAAGAGAACACCACTGGGAATCAGTAACTCCTGAGCTATGATTGTCTGTTACTGAACCCTGATGTGTAGGGCCCTAGCAAATTTACAGTCCATTTTGGTCAATTTAACGGTCCTAGGATTTTAAAAATCATAAATTTCATGATTTCAGCCATTTAAATCTGAAATTTCACAGTGTTGTAATTGTAGGGATCCTGACCCAAAAAGGAGTTGGGGGGGGGTCACAAGGTTATTGTGTTGGGGGGGTTGCTGTACTGCTACTCTTACTTCTGTGCTGCTGCTGCTGGCGGCGGCACTGCCTTCACAGCTGGGCAGCTGGAGAGTGGCGGCTGCTGGCCGGGGGTCCAGCTCTGAAGGCAGAGTACGGATGTCATGGTATGGTATTGCCAATTTTACTTCTGCGCTGCTGCCTGCAGAGCTGGGCCCTCAGTCAGCAGCCGCCACTCTCTGGCCGCCCAGCTCTGAAGGCAGCAGCGCAGAAGTAAGGGTGGCATGGTATGGTATTGTGACCCTTACTTCTGGGCTGCTGCTGGCGGGGTGCTGCCTTCAAAGCTGGGCACCTGGCCAACAGCCACTGCTCTCTAGCCACCCAGCTCTGAAAGCAGCGCAGAAGGGTGGCAGTACCGTGACACACATACACACACGCACCCCGAAATAACCTTGCGATCCCTCTGCAATTCCCTTTTGGGTCAGGATCCCAAATTTGAGTAACGCTGGTCTACCCTGTGCAAAGAAATGTAAAGCCATGTTAATGGGGACTACAGGGACAGAAATCAAAGTGGAAGAAGAGAAACTGCAGAAGGTGGACAATTTTACATATCTTGGAAGTACCATCAGCCAATATGGTACCATTTCCGAGGAAATAAGAAGAATCTGGAAGGCAAACGCTGCATTTGGAAGTCTCAAAAACATCTGGCAACTCAAAAACATCTCCCTCAAGACAAAACTGAACGTGTACAAAGCAATTGTTATCGCCATCACAACGTATAGCAGTGAGACATGGCAACTTACCAAGAAAGAAACGCAAAATCTGGATGCATTTCATTACAAACGTCTGAGAAGGATATTGGGAATAACATATGGAGATAGGAAGATGAATGAAAAAGTCAGAAAAATTATTGGACAAGGCACCCTCTCATAAATAATCTGCAAAAGAAGACCCCAGTGGCTGGGACATGTGCTGAGAATGGAAAAAGAACCCTTACCAAATACCACCCTCGAATGGAAGCCAGAAAACGCAAGAAGAAAGAGAGGAAGACCATGAATAACATGGAAACTAACAGTTCTGAACGACATCAAGCACCTCAATGTGAAATGGGAAGGTTTGGAGAGAAGGATAGTTGACAGGCTAGGATGGCAAATGTGGGTAGACCAATGTGCAGAAAAGCATGGGATGGTCTAAGGTCTCCCCTGTGAAATCTGTATAGTATTGGGTAAAAGCACACAAGACCAGATTTCATGGTGGGGAGACCAGATTTCATGGTCCGTGATGCATTTTTCATGGCCTTGAATTTGGAAGGGCCCTACTGATGTGACCCTGAGCCGTTCCTTTCCCCTCACTTTCACTTCTTTGCCAAGGTCCTGATTAATCTCACACGTTACACCAATTGAACCAAAATCAGCTTGCAAACTGTACCTCTGTGGGACATACTTTTATATCTCTTGAAGCCCTCTATACTGGGTTAGCTTGTACCTGTAAATTTCCTGACAGATGCTAAAGCAATATGAGGAGGGATTAAATTGAAATAAGCATGTCCACACAGGGTTTTGGTCTTTTTAACTTTGCCTTTGTCTACATGCAAGCCTGCACCATATTCATTAGAGGTGTGTTTTTCAACTGGTGTTAGTGAAACTGATGAAAGTTTGTGTGCAGATACTTGTATTTTGGTTTGAGTGGCTTGGTTCAGTTTAAGTTAATTTTGGGGGTGTTTTTTTGCAGGATTAAGCTAAACCAAAAAGACCATTTTAAACCCATATAAGAGTGTCTATATACAGACTTACACTGGTTTCCCTAAGACTATGTCTACACTAGAGAGCTGACAGCAGCACAGCTGTACTGATGTAGCTGTGCTGCTGTAAGATCTCCCATTTAGCCAGTCTATGCCAATGGGAGAGAGTTCTCCCATTGACATAATTAAACTATCCCTAGTGAGCAGCGGTCCCTAGTGAGCAGCGGTAGCTACATCAGCGGGAGAAGCCCTCTCCTCCCCCCCCCCCCCCCCTACCATAGGGCTCTCCGCACTGGTGCTTATGTTGGTGTAACTTACGTCGCTCTAGGGTGTGCGTTTACACTCCTGAGTGACATGAGTTTTGCTGACAGAAGTAGTAGTGTAGACATCACCTAAATCAGTTTAGTTGAACTGGTGTGCCTTGATGTAGACAGGCTTACCTCCTCTTCTGCTGTGTTTCTGTATTTCTAGTGCATCAGGCCTGCCTGTCATGGAATGGCCTGTAGCCTAATTACATTGAACTGTGATCTTGTTAGTACTTGAATGGGACACCTTCAAGGAATATCCAGATGTTGCAGAGGTAGTGATAAGGCATTCTGTAGCAGTGTTCTTTCCTTTGTGTCAGTACTGAACCCGTGCCCTGTCATGGTGCTGGGGGTATTGTGCTATTGGAGATGCCATCTTTCACGTGAGATGTGAATCTGGAAGAGGATGTCATTAACAAAATGTGGTTAGATAAAACGTTCTTCATCCAACTATTTCCCAATGCATAGGCAGCTATTCTAACACTTAAGGCATGGAATTCATGGGACGATGCCATGAAGCTTAATGCATCACAGAGAATGCCAGGGGAAAAGAGGTTGTCTCTGGACAAGCTTATGCTAAGAAATTGAATCCCTGAGAATGTGACTCAGTGTGGCCCTGTTTTATAGCTTCACTCCTGATCAATTCCCATCGCTACCTGAGAAGCCATGGTTTAAGGTGAAACTTGTCCATTTGCAAGAAGATGTTGATGTGTCTAAGTAAATCCTGGAAAGCAAAAGTGGTTTGGGATTTAAGGCTGACACAATGATACATCCCAAATTTGGGATTGCGATCAAAAGGAAGGTGATGTGGCCAACAGCCATCTCGAAGCAGCACTTC